GTGCTGCTAATATTTAAAAGCTTCAAAAATGGCTAGAAGCTCTTTGTCATAGATTTTATAGTTGAGTATGGCATTATAGAGGCTCCAGGAGCAGAAAGCAATGGGGTGAATTTTGCCATCTTCAAGATAGATGGAGAGAATAGCTGCAATTGCATAATCAGAGGCATTAGTTTTCACTACTATCTTTTGATCAGAGACCCAGTGGATAAAGATAGAGGCATGTGTAAAAGCCTGTTTCAACTCATTGAAGATGGTCAAGCATTTGTCATCAAATTTCCATGGAGCTCCCTTGCAGATAAGTTGTATAAGAGAAAGAATAATATTGCTATATTTGTATATAAAGCAATGGTAGAAGTTGGCAAAGCCAAGAAAAGATTGGATGTTCTTGATCTTTTGCAGTACTGGCCAGTCAACAATGGCCTTAACTTTTTCTTTAGACATGTGAAGTCCTTCAGATGATAGGATGTAGCCTAGGTATTCCATGGAATCTCAGTTGAATTCACATTTAGAACCTTTGCAGTAGAGTCTATTAGCTCTAAGCCTGCATAGGACCTCTTGAACATGTTTCTGGTAATCTCTTAGATTATCAGAATATATGAGAATGTCATCAAGGTAGACTACTACTGATATGTCAAGCATGTCAGAGAATATATCATTCACAAATCATTGGAATGCCACCAGAGCATTTGTGAAGCCAAAAGACATGATATGCCATTTGAAGAAACTATAACAGATTTGAAAGGCTGTTTTTTATTTATCCTCTTTAGCTATGTGAACAAGATGGTAGGCATGTCATAGATCAAGCTTGATGTAGATGCACACAGAGCAGGTGGAGTCAAGGAGGTTGGAAATGAGGAGAAGAGGGTAATGATCCTTCTTGGAGATTTTGTTTAGGCTACAGTAGTCAATGCAAAGTCAAAGTTCACCAGTTTTCTTCTTGACAAATAAAACTAAAGCTCCATGCAGAGAGTAGAATAGAGTAATAAACCCATTGCATAGGTTATCATCAATAAACTCTTATAGGGCCTTGAGTTCAGATTCCAAAAGGAAATAAATGAGTCCAAGTGATAGAGATATTCCTTCCTTAAGGTTGATTTTGAGATTGTATGGCCTGTGTTTGGGTAGCTTTTTGGAGAGGGTATTGCTGAAGATATCTGCAAAATCATGGTACTCTACTGGCACTGATGAAAGGTCTGCTAGTTCTGCAGATGCAGCTTTGGCTCCAATTTTAGGCAAGGAAGGCTGCAGTATGAACTGCTGAGCATCTTCTTCTGCACTGGCTTGAACAAATGCAGCAGTGGATATGATGGAAATCTTTGAATGTGCTTTTGTAGTAAAAGACTCTGAAGAAGGATAGGAATAGATGAGTTCATATGGAAATAGAGCCTGCCTGCTACTCAGAAGAGATTTGGAATGGGGTGAAGCCCTAGAGATTGAACTGATAGAGTCCAGTGGGCACAGAAGTCCTGAAATTGAGCTGGAAGGCTCTGAGAGAGATAGACTATTGTCCTGTGGGCATGGAAGTCCCTGGGATATGGTAGAGGCTGCAGAATTGGTTGGAGTGAGATCCTGGTAGCTTGAGTGAAAATAATACTGTTCTCAGCCCAGTCAATCAGTGAATTATAGTGGGAGAGTCAGTTGTATCCTAGAATAAGATTGCAAGATGAATCTAGAGAAGTGACATAGAAGTCAATGGAGAAAGTGTCTCTAAATGGAAAACAGATGGGAATAGTTGCAATTTGAGATATATGACTCCCAATGGAGCCATCAAATAATCAAAGTTACACACTAGAGATGGCTTTAATAGAGATTTCATTAGCAGCTACATACTTAATGTCAACAAAGCAGTGGCTAGAACCAGAATCAATAAGAGCAAGAAAGCACAGAATGATACAAGTTGGGGAACCATCAGGTTCTATGGTAGTAGGTAATTCTGCTAAAAGGGGAATGTGAAAGGAGTGATTGGAGAGAGATGTTGCATTGAGGGTGATGACCTCCAGTGTATGAATAGAGTCAATGCAACCCTAAACTCACATAAAGGGAATAGGGTTGCTTTCTAGTTTTTTGACTCTGCTGAAGCCAGCTCCACAGGAGTGGTATCTATTCTAGCTGCATGACTCTTGGCAGTCACTGTAGTCTTTTATTTGTTGCAATTCTCAGTTTTATGTTTGGCTCCACAGAACATGCAGAGATTGTTCTGATGCCAGTAGTCTTTTTCTTCCTGGATCAGATGGCTATCTTTGCCTAGCTTGTCAGCATAGGGCTTAGCAGTGGTGGATTTTGGTGTGAAGCTAGAGTCCAAGGAATTGGATCCCTTGGATTTGGGATTGGAGGATTGGTTAGAGGCCTTATGATCTCAGTTTTCACAGGCAATTTCGGTCTTCTGAGTCCAGTAATGAGCATTGAGTTCTTGGGCAAGGAGATGCATGTCACATAGATTGCTGGGCTTCCCATGGTGAGCCATATCATCTTTAATGTGAGTACAGAGACCATGGTAGAAGGCATGGTGGAGAGAGTTGTCTCTATACCTGATTTGTGAGGCATACTGGTTGAATTAGACTATATACTTCATGATTTGCTCTCTGTTATATATCCAAAGGTGTTTTAATATATCTTCAGCATCTCTGATGGTGCCAAAGAGGCTGAAGTTGCTATGAAGCTCATTCAAGAAAGCTGCATAGGAGAATTGCCAGGCTGATGGGTTCTATAGATTGAGATTAAGAATGTCTGGTTTGAACCAGTTAAACATAGTGCCAGCCAGGAAGGAAATAGCATAGTTGACCTTGCTAGCATCTGTTGCAAAGGTAGTAGGTCTGTCATTGAAGTTCAACTAAAGAGAAATGATGAAGGCCTTCAGTTTGCAAGAGTCAGAGCTGTCAAATGGTTCTGGTTTCTTGACTTTGGTGTGAATAGTGGCTGGTTTAGGGTTATTGAGGGAAGTAGAGACTCCTCATAACAGATTCATGAATTCTAGGAATATGTCCTGCTGGTTTGGATTGTTGCTTCCTGCAGGGCTGTCAGAGCTGTCTGGACCATTGAGACTACCTGGTCCTCCTAGTCTACCTGATCCTTCTGACTCTTCTGGAAAAGGGTTTGGTGGATTACCACCTGGTTCCTGTTGGATGGGAGTATAAGTAGGGGTGTCTTCACCTCTGTCCTCTGAGTCTGGGCTATCTGAATTCCTATGCATATTGCTCAGAGATAAAGGGTCTAGAGGGTCAGTTTAGATGCCATACATCAGGCTGGTCTGTTGGGCTCCATTGGTTGGAATGCTGGTGGTGTCAAAAGGATTAGGGGAATTGTCATAATTAGGTTGGCAGGCAGTGAAGCTAGAGTGATTGTAGGTTTTCCTATGGGAAGGTTGTCCTCTACTGGAGGTTGATCTGAAAAGGCCTGGTTGTTCCTTTCTGATAGAGGCCAGGATGTCTTCCATGGAAAACATGTTATGATAGATAGGCTGAGTTTGTTCAGAATCAGTTTCTGTGGATTGGGTAAATGTGGTGAACATGGTAAAAATTTTTGACTCAAGGGTTTGAGTTCAAATATACTGTTAGGAACATGCCAATCAAGTGGTTTGAGTGCACACACAGAAACCAGAGGAGTGCATGAGCATCAATGAAGCTATTGGTAATATTACCCTTGAGTCAGGGCTCAAGGATTTGGATGGATGGAACAGAGTTCCATCAGAGAAGTGAAGAGGAGTATCCTTCAGAGCAGAATCCAATGGACAAGGAAGAAGGAGTTGAAGTGAGTACAAAGTGTAGATAGCTATCTAAGTTGATATTCAAACTGAGTAGTTACAATAATTCTATATGGCTTTATATACTAATAGTAGCTAATTCTGAGTCAGATTCCATTGGGTTCTGATGTCAATATTTGCTATCAAGTTCAGGGTCTAGATATTACAATGTGAAATATAAATGTGAAATGATAATAGTGAAAATGAAATTAATAGGTAATGGGAAGCAGGTGGAGTCTGGTGGGTTTTGGCAATTGAATCCATGGTTGGTTGAGATGACATGGAGACCAGTGGTATGCATGTAACACAGAGTGACAGTAGAGGATCAAGAAAGAATCTTGCAAAAGCCATTTCAAAATGTTTTTAAGATCAGTCATGTAAAACAATGGTGGTAGCGGCAAAGTAAACTTTCAGAAACATGTGGTTGTATAGTATGTTTCAGTTTGTTACAAGAGGACAGTGTGGCTAAAATTGGGTGGGAGGTCCTGACATTAAACAGAATACCAACCTTGCTTTACATAGTACTGTAGGGTATAAAGTGATGGTTTCATCTGAATGCAATGCCTTTGAAGTATTCAACATTCTTATCCATCTCTTTTCCTTGATATAAATGAGTCACAGCAACCCGGCCGGCAGACAGTTGAAATAGTATTATCCTACCAAATTAGTTGCCGACTACTCGGCTTGTCTCGGCTTCACGCCAAGAATGCCGGACATTCCTGTTGCCTCGGACTATCTTCTCTCCTCATCCTACAGAGAGTCTGCCGTTGAGGCTTCCTTCTTCTTTCTCTCATCTCTTTCTCCAGCATCTACTGATAAGTTTCCCTTCCTGGCATCCCTCAGTTTAGTAGCATTTCTGAAGCCTTTGTTTAAATATTCAGAATCTAGCACTACCAATATCGATCAATGTTACCCGTTATCGTGCAAGGCATTAGCATCATAACGAGGTAGCCAACGCCTTCTCGACGCCGTTTGGCCCTATGCCAGACCCTGCTGATGGGATGGAATGGGGAGATCTCGGACACGGTAGCAGAGAAAGTTCTGGTGATGGGTTTGGTCAATACGACCACTGAAGGCAAAGTTTATAAGATATGGAAGAGTGGCCGAAGGTTGATTCGCTAGCTGGATCTGGAGCATATAGAATGGCTGTGATTAACCTTGTTGACGTCTGACTCGGGCGAGATATGCAGGAACTTGCACTCTTCATTAGGTCGTACAACATTGGACACCGGTGATACTCCACAGCTGGTGAACATCGGATTCACGCGTACAATAAGGAAAGGAAGGCTACAAATCTTCCGATGGCGGTCGGTTGTTGTCTTTGTGCGTTCCGTGATGTCTGCTTGCCAAGAGGCGCACCATTGAGAGAAACTAGATTGGTCGAGGATGTGTATCTGATGGTGGACTCCGGAGTGCTGAGCACGGTCAAGAAGCAGGGAACTAGCGGTATACCATGAGTCAACGAGGACGAGAGCCACTGGACGTTAGATGTTGATAGCATGAGAGCGAAGGGGTCCTGAAGGGTGTATCCATCGGATATCTGGATAAATTGGTGGTGTATCTGCACGATATCCAGTAAGTAAACAACGGCCACCGTTGTCAGAAAGAAACCTGACTCGCCACCAAGGGCCCTTACGGCATGACGCGCTGAGACATCCCCCACTGGTACCATCGTATGAGTATGTTCGAGACTATTGTATCGGTCCATGACCTGACCAACGCTGTCCGCTTCTTCTCTAGCTACATTGCCTACGAACAACATACGAATTATGCTTGAACTGCTGAACAATGACGTTAGAAATGAGGGCAATTATTGAAATAAACAGTAACCATCGCATTACATTGTAAGCAAGCACTTGCAGCGCTCGCATGGGAATGAAATGGTGATGATGAGAGTAGCGAGGAAAAATATCAAATAGCACGCACGAGCTTTTTGACACGTGTTCAACAGAGGTGTCACAGGAGAAATCCTTATACTTTTCTTTGGATTACGCGTATCCTTATTTTACGGCCGCTGAACTGGATCTCTTCGCTTTGACTGTCATGCCAGCCACTTTCGCTATGACATGTCAAGCCTATCGTCACTTCCCCTCCCCTCCCTGGTCCTGCACAGTCAAGTACCTTCGAGTCCACTCAAATCACCCTAATTGTCCTGAGGCAAATGTCAGACGAGCCGCTACAGGCCTGTGCAGGTCATGTGAAGGGACGGATGATATAGCCAACTGTCAGGAACGTCTGAATCATCTCTTTACGATGTATCTCCACATCGCCCTCTATGATATCGGAATGACAGGCCCTCATTTCAACTAGTGGCAAGAGATTCACCCGTTTGCTAAAGTCGTACCAGATCAACAATCCTAACCGGGATTCATTCTGGGAGCTAGCGCATACCATCGAACCCAATCTGGTTAGTACGGATAAATTCAACTGCTGTGTTCGTCTTTTCTCCATCGATCTCCCAATCTCTGACATGCATGCCTTCATGAAAGAACAAAACGCAGAGCGAAGCGAGAGGCCGTTGTTATCGACACATCTTCAATGTGGCTGGACGTGCGCGCAATAGTGTATTCGGATACTATCTGAACTCGTTAAGTTGGGTTTCTTAAATATACCATTGGATACAGGCGATTTACAGAGCCGATTCTACCAGAGAGTGCTCGCCTTGGGGATGTTGGGTGAAAGTCCTGATTGGCTTGGGGATACCGTCGATGGAATACGAGTAGTTGATTACGATTTCACCATGACATGAGCAATCGGTTTGTGATACATGCTTGCTTTTATCTTCGGCAGCTGATTCCTCGCTCTCTTTAAATCCGAAGGGATGAATGCGAGAGATGGGGCCTATCAAATCTAAAATATACTCTCAGAAAAATCAGTCGAAAGTCTACCATGACTAGAGGCTACAATAGAAGCTATCAACGGACAAGAATGCTAAATAGTAGACTCTGTTTATAATGCATCACCAATTTAACACCTTTACATCTCCGCGTTGAAATCAAATGGATATGTCTTCAGCAACGGTTGCGCCTTTGCTCCTAGTGGAATTTTCAAAAGAAATAAATCCTTTCCGTCTTCCTTCGCGAGCGCCAAAGCAGTGTTCCACCCAGCAGGTACGGTTTCAGTAGTGTGGAACTCTTCGTCCGTAAGGACATACAATTTCATTGGAACTTGTGTGTAATCCGTGACAGTGAGCAAAACAACGAAACCCCTTGGCTTTTCCGACTTCTGCTTTTGAATAAGTTGAGCGTTATCCTGGATGTCTCTTTCAATAATGGCATATGCGAAATGGCGTTCGCGCTTCGACATGGGCATGGGGTGACCATCTGCGAATGATCGTTAAAAGCATCGACCGGAAGTTATTCATAGAGAGCAAGAACTGACTTTGAAGATCATCTTGTATTATTTGACAAAGAGCGTTATGACCATCGCTCCAGTCCAGTTTCTGGCACTCCTTCGAGCAATAATACTCGAAACGGCAGCCTTCGCAACGTCTGAGCGTCCGCTTGGGGCCGTTATCAGGGTGCGGACACTGGATAGGATCTATGAGTGATGGGCCATTGGAAATTATAAAAGAGAGCTCACAGCGGGGTACGAGCACTTTGTCAGTCCACGCCCGGAAGCCATATAATCCTTGAGTATACCCCAACGTGTCTCCGTGGTCTCCTTTAGTGCGGTCCAAGCATCGCCAATCGGTCCTGCCTCAGAAATGCCAGGTTTTAAATCGGCCGTATATAAGACCTTGCACAGTTTTGCGAGTACGTTACGATAGAGTGTGTACGATGTCATCAAGTGCAGCAACGGAACAAGAATCGCCTTCTTATCCTCGGCGTGCACCTTTGACTGTGCCCTTAAGAGTGCCGGTATCAAGTCAGCGTCCAGCCCTTCGATTATTCGATCAGAACCCTCCTGAAACGCTCGTCGCAAGTAGGTTAACGAGAATTGAAGCAGTCTGGAGTAACCGGTCAGTTCATCAGGAGAGCAGGTTTCCTCTTTCTTCGCCGCGATACCCGCAATCCGTCGACAGATCCACGACACAGAGTGGCATGAGATGAAAGCTCGGGTGAACGGAAGAGAATGCACCGTGCTGAGGAGTAGGAACATGATGCCCCCGTCGTAGTCCGCGTCAGGCTCATGCTCGCTGGCAACAATACGAGCGCAGACTTCTTCTACAATAGGGTTCTGAACCCAATTAAAAGCGTTCGAAACCTCGCTATTGGAAGTGCGTTTCTGTAGGATGCACATCATGGCTATCCTGACAATAGCCTCAATCCGACCATATTTCGCACGAATGCCGTATATCCACAAGACGGTCATGACAAAAGTGAGACCTTTGGTATCTCGCATCTTTGCACAGTAATCAGGGTCGGTGGCTAGGGTACCGAGGAACTCCACGATGCGAACCGCAGTTGAGAGCACTGCCGATGTAGAAATGGTGATATTGGTGTCGATGAAATAGTGGTGGAAAAATTTGACAGCCCAAAGATATATCTGGGGACAAGTGATCACTAGTCCCGCTGATTTGGAAAGGTCGAGAGCTTGTGGCGATTGAAGAGCAACATTAAGCGCATGAAAGTAAGATGTGGCTCTGTCCAACGATTTGCAGAGGTCTTCAGGAGGTAACTTGTCTATCATCTCTGGTGGCGGCAAGTATTTCAGAAACACACGAACGACCTGGACGAGATGAGGGAACACGGTGGAGTCATCGCGGGCAAATTCTCCCAGCTGAACAAGAGCGTCGCCTGAGCCACTGAGAGCCAACTCCTGCGAAATCGCGTTGAGCAAAATGTACAGTTGTGTGGTTGAACACTCACCTTCAGTGCGTCCATTGTAGAGAGAAGTTTGTATTGAAGGCTAATTCGGCTGAAAAACACACGGCGGGCGCGCTCTTCACTGGCAGGAGCGTTGAACAAAGTAAGCTCAGAACAAGGGAAATGCCGAATTTGGCCGAGCCCATAGCACAACAGTATTGGATTTAGTAACCATATCGATACCGGACAGCCATGCTGAGTGATGTAATTAGATAGTCTCTGATTGAGAAAGTTAATCGTGCGGCTCTTATAACGTTGAAAAAAGCGGAATCACGACTCACCTTGAACGATCTCGGGTCCACTTGATGACCCAGACGAGTAGATACCAATGGAATTCGAACCAACGCCACGCCTCTGATGCACCGCCTGCAGGAGTATTTATTCAAGCCATGAATTTGCTTCAAGAGCATGACATAGAACCATCAATCATGATGTTCGAATTCTCGCAGTCACTGATGTCGCATCCGTTCAGATAGTAAGCGCACCAGTCTTGTCGATACGAGGAACATGCTATGCCGTAACCCTGCTGGAAAGGTGGCAGGATGATACTGTAAGATGGACGGAATTTGAACGAAAAGGTCGGCTCAAATCGAACATGGGTCCGGGCCGGATAACCGCACCTTTCTTCTCGCATTCTGGTTGCATTCTCGGTACCGGTTTACCTGCATACGATTGTGGATCAAGATTTCGAACTGTGCTCAAGCCACTGCCTCTTTCTCCAATGATGCCAAAAAAGAAGAAATATGGCCGTGGCATTAAATGCTTCGGCTCGTACGAACAGTACTTATAGTTCTTCGACAAGGCGCAGCTCTAGTCCCCGTATTCTACCATTGCACCATTGCAACAATGAATACATTCGACCCAGATCGAGCGGTGAGCCATGCCTCAGATCAAAATTGTGCTTGGTTTGACCGTCGACAGAAACTGTCTGAAGAGGTCGAGACCATATTCTACGCGCACCCAGGACAGTATGTCCGGGAAGTTGTCGTTGTTGGGGTGAGCGTGGGTACGAACGCACACGAAAGGCTTCTCAGAGCCTGGCTCGTGCTAAGCAAAGTTGGCGAGAAAGCGGGGGATCCGGCCGTGGTTGACGCCCTCAGACGGTGGACCGAAAGACATTTGGTAAAGTCAAAATGGCTACATGGAGGTATCGAAGTTGTTGGAGAGGTGAGAGCGACCATGTCTCATGGGCGAGG